ACAGTCCTCACGAGTGTGCTGATGAAATGTGTGTGTGTGTAAGAGAGACAGAGAGAGAGTGCACTGTGTAATCTGAACATATGGTATTAGAAAAGAATAATGGAATTGTTGTTCCAATCCTGGCACAGCTCCAGAGGTCCTTTCATGTAAATGGCACTACAAACAATTCATTGTTATAGCACATGCCAAAGGGAGCTATGAGATGCTGGCATGCATGTGTGCTTATGTGTGAATGTTTGTCTATGTGCACCTGTGCAGACAGCTGCATGCCTTTCACTTCAGCATGAAATGTATTTTTATGTAGCTAGTAATTAATTTCTACTCATGTTGTACAAGTACTCATGTTCCTGTGTGAATGTGTTTGGTGGGCTTATCATGGCTTCCGCAAAAGTTTTCTTCCTTTTATCTTTGTCTTTATTTAGGCAAATTTCTGCTGTCAGAAGCAGGTTGTGTGTGAACGTCTCCCAGCGCGCTTCCCGGCGAATGCTCCACACTGACACGTGTCTGAATGTGTTAATCACAGATGTCTATTTCTCTGGCCTCCTCCAGACCTCCCATGGCTCTCTCCCTGTCTCCCTGCCCAAAGCTAGTGTAGCACAGGTGACACAAGATGGCATGACTAGCATGCCACACATCCATCAGACTGCGAAAGGCAGCAGGAGAGAGCTAAGTGAGCTAAATTTGGGGAGTTATTACTCAGTACAAGCAGACTGCTCGAAGTTATGCAAGAATCTGGTGACTTTTATATTGGTTTGGCATGATTACTTATTTCCTGATTACTCTGTCTCCCTTAGACATCTTGTAGAGGTTTGGGATATTATTCAGAATATCTTAATTTGATCCATTTATTTCTCTTAGTTATCAGCCTATTTTATCTGCATGTTTCTGTCTGAAATACATGATAATAATGGCCTATCTTGTTGAAGTGGGAGTAATGTGGAGGGTAATATCTCCTCTTTGACATCTGCCCTCTACAGTTCTGAGCTTATCCACCTCACCGCGGTTTCCTGCCGTAGGCCCTGTAGCTCTGTCTGATGTCCGCTCACGCAAACACACCGCATTCTACATACACGATCATTTGCTCACACAAAAACACACACATAGAGAGCTTCGCTGCAATTAGAGTCATATGGTGTGAGCTTGCTGCCTCCCACGATTCTAACCAATAAGGTCATTTTCTAGATGAAGAAAACACTTCCATTTCTGCAAGTTGCCTGTATTGAATGTACTCTGCAACCCTGTTTTTTTCCTTGAACCAAACTGCAACTCGACTCTGTTTTATTCTGTTGTATTCAGTGTCTTCAGCTCTTTCCATCTGCATAGCTGTTATTTCTTCAGAATCCTAGCCTTTTGTTTCCCATTGGCACACAAAATCAAATGTGAAGCATGTGAATGCAAAGTCATGGGTACTGTTTCAAGTGACTGAATGATCATCACTATCAAAATGATAGAACTGGGAGTGTTTGCAGGAACTTCTAATTGTTACATAAAAAGTAAAACTATATTTTCACATATTTGCGGTCCTCTTTCTGCTCAAACCTTTATACATTTGGCTGCTGTTTGCCCACAGAGATGTTTGTTTGTCTTGTCTACATAATTGAATACCATTAATATAGCAAGCACTGCCTCATGGCCAAGAAAGGGTTTGATCATTGTTTAAAGTGTGTCAGCTTTTTTAGCCCTATTAGTAGTTTGTTCTTCTGTGGGGTGTTTGCAAAGCACTAGGGAGACAACACTTTAAAAGGTCACTAATGCACTCAGCATGCTGAAGGGGAAAAAAGGCATGTTGGATGTTTGTGCTTTTTTAATCTCTCTTTAAAGTGAGTTCTCTGGAGATGTGACACTACAATATTTGAGGATACCGTGGTGTTTTCACTGTGAGAGAGGAGGCAATGGAGAAAATGAGAAACATTTACCACATCGCATCCTGTCTGCTTCTGCCTGCAGCGTGTAAGGGCCGACACAGTCCATGGTCAGATATTTACAAAGAACAAAAATACAAGGAGATAAAGCGTGCGACAGCAGAGGTAGTGAGGAAAAATCAGCTAAAGAAACAAGGGTCAGAGGTGTCTGACGTTCTGTGAGTCACCTTTCATTCTACTGTGGCCAGGAATATGTTGTTGCAATGTTAAGCAAGTGTATACAAGGCAGCGGTGCGTCAAAGGGGGGGTCACGGTGTCACACAGTCTGAGGGCAGGCCTGCAGATAAGAGCCTGGGCAGCTCAGCTCTGCCAGTTCCCCCAGCACAGGAAGTGACTGCAGAGTACACCTGGCCTGGCAGCTTCAGACCATCCAGGGACAACTGGGAAAGGCTTCCTCCTTGGCCGCAACCTAAACTGACAAAGGGAATCATGTGTGGTGGTAGGAGCCCACACAACAAGTTTGACAGCGTTAATGTGTGACTGCGCTATCATGCAGAGGTTTCTGTGTGTGAACTGTTTGGTTATACATGTGTGTGTGTGTGTGTGTAGGAGAGGCTTCAGGGTGGCAGGAGGAAGCCAGTCCACTAACAGCTGTCAGCTTTTTCAACCTTTGTGTTTGTCATGCCAGGTTAAAGGCAGGACAAGGGACAGGGAAACAAAAATAGGTGAAAGAAAAAAAGAAAATAAGAAAAAGGTCAGACTTGAACATAGAAAATGATGGTGCTAGAGTGCATGTAGGCCAGAAATGTAAAAATTACTGCTGTGGATTGAAACATTTGTCAACCTGAACTGATTATCATCGTACCCCCCCCCACCCTCCAGACAGTTTTTGCCCCACGGTGCTGCCGGTAAATATTCTAAATAAAACCCGTCAACATCACGTTAATTAACACCGTAAATAGCCTTTATTCTCACATCAGTTCTGTGAAGGCCCCTCACTATGAATCCTCTTTATTTAGCATCCAGACAGACAGCTGTTAAGTCATGCAAAGGTAATTTTCACATTTATGAAATGTTACATATGTTGTATGCTTGTTAGCAAAAAATTGTATAAATGCTGTAGAGATGGCCCTGTATGGCAAACAGTAAATACAGTGCACTCTATAGTAATCTACTCCATACTCTTTGCCTTTCAGCTGCTTCCTAGTTTACATCTTCTGTCAGGAAAATTGTTCCAGGGGAACGTTTAAGGTCCACAGACCACAGACTGTCTGGTTGTCTAGTTCATTGTACGGATCATTTCCAATGAGTGGCTTCTTTTTTACAAGATATTTTTGGAGTTCTCCTGATATCACAGCTCTCCCAATTCATTGTATTCATAATGAGTTTGTTTTTGCCCCATTGGAGGGGGGTTATAATGTAGTTCATAAAAAAGTGATATCAACCCATGTGTTTTTATAAGGCTGGCAGAGCACGCAGTCTAACAGAAAACTTATTTTCATGCACATTCCAAACTTATTATTTGTCTGTTTTGGTCACTGCTTAGACAATAAGACTGCACATTCTCACCTGCTGACTTTCCACTATCGATTGTACAGATTTGACTCACAGATTTTGTTTGTAAAATTGACTTTGACAATGTAAGATCCACTTTTCCCACAAACAACGTGTTGTTTTTTTTTGTTTTTTTGTTTTTCCAACCAAAACCTGCCCTGGTGTCATGCAGGATTTACAGATGTTAGTGCCATTAAACAAGGCCATCGAACATTCTCATTTCCACTGGTGTGTATGGGATTATTTTATTGGCTAGAGGGAAATGAATAAAATGATACAGAGAGGGGTGACTGGCTCCCTTGAAAGCAAAGTAGTGTAGACCAACATAGCAGCCAGTGTCACATCCCATTCCTGCCAGGTCTGAGGAATGTCCAGTCCTTGACACTTGTCCAATCCAAGTTATCTCAAGCTCTCTCCTCCAGCTTCACGCTGGCTAATCTCTCTTGACACCTCACACAGCCCCGACAGGGAATCACTCTACCTTGAAAACAATCCAGCCCCCCTCCCTCTCCACCCTAAATCGGTACCAAACCCCTCTGATTCTGTCTGTCTTCCTTATATTTCTCTTTACCCTCTCCTCCCTATCTATCCCTTCCCCATTACTTCTCTTTGTGGCCTGCTCTTTCTGTTGTGTCTCCATCTGTCTTTGTCAAACTATATTTCGCTCTTCTTCTATCTAGCTCAATCTTCCTTCCCCCTGTTTTTCTCCTCTGTCCTCACTTCCTTGCGGGGTATATCATGCCTCTGTTGATGAGAATCTGTGAAAAGATGTTGTGATTGCCAATTGAGGAATAGCCTGCATTTTGTTAAGGACCACTTTTGAATGCCAATTCAGAACCGGCATTTTACTCCACTGGTGGATGTTGTTAATGTTGGAGATTTTTTCTTTCTTTTATCTCCAAGCACACCTTTACAGATGGAGAGAAGTTCCAGACGATCATTTTAGGATGGGACAGAGAGATCATAAATACAAGACATCTTTCCCTCGACAGCCATCATCCTAAATATACTTTACTTTTTTTGAGAGAAAGGAGAGATGAGGGACTTGCTGATAGGATCTTTTTTTAATGTTTGCACTGACAGGGCATTGTTAAAATTCTTACTTATTGCTACAGTACAGTATGTACCTTTTTCAGATACTTTAGTTGTAGAAATATGCTCCAAAACTTGTCTTAATGTGGAGAGCCTCCTGTGACCCAGGCTCATTGAACAGCACTGGCAGCACTGCAGAGATATTAGTTTCTAAAAGGTTTTGAGAGGGATTGACTTCTCTAACCAATCAGAGATGTTCAGTTATTTCTGCTTGATCAGTAAGTTTTGTTGCATTCTCATTTCTTGTAATTTCACAGCCACAAATGTCTGAAGAGCTGGGCAGAACATGGTGGAGCGTAGCAGATTGTAGTAGAGCATAGTGGAGCAGGAAGAGGCAACGCTGGGTGGAGCAGAGTGATTTGGAGTTTCATGCTAGTACCTTTCCAGTTGTTTGTTTCTACTGTAGTAGCCACAGAGCAAATGAGATCCTTTACAGATCATCTTTTCAAATTCATGTATTTGGGATACAAGAAGTCTCATGAGGCAAGTCACTCAAAAAAATCCCATTTATTATTTAAAGGTATTCAACAATTCCAAAAGATAAGATAGACAAACATGTCATAGAATTCATTTACAGGCTATTTGTTCTTCTCATCATATCTATAGAGGCCCCCCACCCTACAGAGCACAATCTCATTGGCTGCTGAGTAGAATATCTGGCATTGGCTGTAGCACAGAATCTCTGTAAAAGAATAACGTAGCTATGGCACGGCACATGCTAATGCAGACGCTCATTGGTATGCACATTAACGTACTCACACGTGCAAATGCACGCACACACATACATACAGACGTGCAGTCACAGTAGAGTCACTCACCCAGTCAATCTCATTCTCAAGCAAGTTGTCAGGCTGCCATGTTGATTAAATATTAACATAATGCCTGTGTGTCATTGAGTATGTAGCTAATGAATGGATGACATCCAGTGAAGCTCAGAGACACTAACACTAAAAACTTTCCCACTCACTTTTACTGTGCCGGAGCACCCCCTCTACCTCCCCACCATCTCACTCACTTCTGATTCCTTTGTGAGCTTCTCTTGCAGGTGGAGTTTCCTTTCACCTCGCACAAATCCTTGGAGGTGGGCACAGCAGAGAAGACGAAATAACAGGCACCCGTCAACTGAGTTAGCACACAATCAAATGATTTTACTTCACCACATGACTGATTGTGCTATGTAGAACAGCTGCATAAACCTAGAACATCTTAGAAACGATTTGGACTCTACCTACAATCCAAAGAGCGGCAGGACTTTATGTGTTTGTGAAGAGCGTTAGGTGCTGTGTGTGGAAAGGGTATTGTCTAGATGATGTTTCCTTTTTCTAGATACATTGGAAGGTACAGTGCAGAATGTATTGTTATTCTCCACATGAACAATATATAGCCACTTTGCTGTACCCAGCAATGAACAAAAACACCCAGTGCCATGAAATACTGACAGTCGTGATTTTCAGGTTTTTCTTTTCTAGCCGTTAGCTCTCTGAGCTCCATCAAAAATGCGTCCTATCAGTCAAACAGGATATCTTCACAGGGGATAAATATATCCTTTTTTTTTAAATCTCATTGTGTAGAATATTATGCATGTCTACAAAACAAAAACACAATCTAAGGAACATTGCACGTAACAACACTACGAGTTTCAGTCCACTGACAACACAGCTGACTGTTGCCACTGTGGAGAGAAGAGGTGAGATCATCCGCTTTTGCAGGGTTTTCATTTTTGTTGTTATTTCTGTGCAATGGAGCAGGGCTGAAAAGGAGAGACACTGAAAGTGAGGAGCTTTCTGACATGTTGGCATTGTGGCGAGGAGTGCAGAAAAACCAGCCCACCTCCTCCCCACATCCCACTCCTCCCACGTCGCCCGTCAGCCCCTCTCAGTGTGTCCTCAGGAGCTTTCGCATCCAGGCTCTGTAGCCGAGCCTGGATGTTTTGAATGATGGATATGAAGCAGAGGTGTCCGGGATGATGGAGAAAATTAGGAAAACTAGGAAGCATTCCAGCTTTTAACACACCCCCTTACCCCCCCCCTCATCGTTCAACTCTTCTGTCAATTTCTTGCTTTCTGACTGTCTTTGTGTCTGTCTGTTCTCAATCTGCGTAAAGGATGAAGCCAGAGAAGGTGCTGTACTTGTTGTTGTTGCCTCCGTGGGCTTTGCCTCCATCCAGTTTGATGTAAACCTCGTCCCCGGCATCCAGATGGAGGATGACGCTGTTGGAGGCGTAGTCATAGTTCTGGTCAGCGTCTTGGGCGATGGCACTGGCACGAACCTGGAAGAACAGGGACAAACATGTAGGAGAGCATGTAAAATCGTGCACGGATACTGGACACATATTCAGTAATGCCAGTCTCCATTACTATAAATCTGCACTAAAAGTATTTGGAGCTTGAAAGCACTCATCTCTAACAAGGCTGCACAGTCACCTATATTCGTTATTTCACTAATAGAAATGTTGCAATTTCTTACTATCAAGGTCTGCACAAAAACGCACACAATGATTGGGAATTGTGAGAAATTAAGTGTCCATATGTGCCAGAGAAATGAATGAATATATTAAAAATGTCCTTTTGCAATGTTAAAAAAAATGAGTTAGAAGACTCCTTGAACAATGCTTAGATTCAGATGTACACCAAAATTTAGAAATATAAGTTTTGTTTATCTGACTTATAATGATCTATTGGCTAGGTGATGCTCTGCTAATTTACTAGCAAACAACCAAACAAGACCACCATTATTAAAATAAAAGAAACTCACTTTTTGTGAGTTGTGAGTGCTGTGTTGCTGCACCACAGGAGAATAAAAAAGTTTGCTGCACAGAAGGATAGTGTATCAATTTGGGAATACTCGAATAGAAAAGTGTTCAGTATATTTTTTGAAATACTAAATCGCACAAGAAAATGTAATTTCCTCTTGCTGTGCATCGTGTGTACGGTTTGATGACAATACAGTGATTGTGACTCTGATTTTGACAAAATATTTCATTTTGAAGTTAAATGAATAACCAGACACAACAACAGCACAAATGATTTTTCATATTGATATTAAATCTGCGGGACCAACCGGAGGGTCAGTCAAATCTAGGGCCTTTCTGTCAAGCAGATTTATGGTCTCAATTAAACCTGTGGTCTTTCACAGAAGACCTAACATTCAACTTCGGAACAAAAGGTCCACAGAAAGAGAAACCGAACAATGGGGGTGGGGGGGGAGATTACTGAGAAATGCATTTTAAACAAGGAATATTTATCTATGTTTGTCTGGCTGCATGTATTTCTGTGTGCGTGAGTATTCAGCAGGTCTGGCCATAGGACATTTGGAGCGGTTTCTAAATAACCTGTCCTGGCTAATTAAGACCTCCACCACAAACATGCTCTTTCTCTGGGGAGGAAAATATCGTTGCAGTGCCAAATGGGCACTGAAACAATAGCTGTGTTTTTTTATGTGTGAGTCTGAGCGTGTGTGTGCATGTCAGAGAGAGAAAGACTAATACAGTGGTAGACTGAGTGGGTATGTCCACTGCATTATAGTTGCATGTCTTGAGATACACAGAACAGTTTGTGTCTTGTTCTTCGCCAAATGAAAACCAAACTGAGGAATTAGAAAATCAGGATACACAGTGAAGGTCATACACTGGATATTTCCAGCCTATAGTATGTGCCTTGTCTGCTGAGCCATCGGAATGATTTAAATATGATCCTTAACAGCAGCCATGAACTTAAACCTTATTTTGTTCAGTGCAATCTCTAAGTATTTGGACACTGAGATACAGTATATGTTGTTTTGGTGCTGAACTCCAGCACAGCAGATTTGCAATTAAAGAGTACTCCACTAATTTAGCATTGCACTCATCATGGACATTTTTTTAAAGGATGAAAACCAGAAGGAGCCAGAAGAATTCTCTTTTTTTTATTTAACATAATCCTCTTCGTTGTCAAAACTGAGTGCCTTTGTTAATCACAGTGCAGCTCAACGTCCCACAGTTCATTTGGAGATTCAGGTGTCTTATCCTAGTGGTGGTTATTGTAACCTTGAGCCTCTATAGCCTCAAGCAGAGAAGAGAAGCGCGCTACAGAGGTCTGGTAGGATCACTCGTTTTTCCAACTCAACCCCCTCATATTTCATTTTCAAACTTAGGGTCTTCAGATCCAACCAGACTTCATACAACTCCCTCCAGAGCCACAAAAGGCTTTACATAACTTTTTTCATACATGCAGTAGCACTCCCCAAGACTTTTAACCAGTGACTTTGAGCTTAAAGGTCTAAGGGGCCTTCACATTTACGTATATCAAGTGAATAGTGGAGAACTTTTTGCCTTATTTAGTACCCTAAATTTAAGACAGTGCTGCAGGATGATGATACAGACAAACAAGGAGATTTAGATAGTGGGATGTTCCTCAGTGGTGAAGTCACTCATCCAATTTTAAGCCAATACTTAATGACCAGACTTAAAGACAGAAAAACCAAAACATGCGAGAAGTGTCTTATGACGTCTGTGAGTCATAAACTACAGATGGTAATTTACTGCAAAAAATGTAAAACTAAACTGTGGCTCCATTTACATTTCAGTTAATCTGCCAATTAAGTTGAGTCACCTAACACTGACTCTAAAGAAGGTTTTTTTTTTATTCCTGAACTATTGAAACTGATAACTGGTTCTTTAGGTATGTGTTATATTGGATACTGTCAAAAAAACCATAGAGTATACTTCTAGGCTGCACAGTCTCTGTGCTGTTAAACAGTTACTAACAAGGAGAACTGCATCAGTTGTAAAGTAAATAAAATACAATTGAACGAGGAGACCATTATTTCCTCTTGAGATGAAAAAGAAAGTACTGCACATCATTTAAAGCAGCCACTGGTTAAATAAGCCAATTAGGCTCTCAGTCTGGTCAATAAAGTTGAATCTAAATCAATAATTTCAGTGCATTTGAAGTGTTTTCTTAAGACTTATTATCAGGTCTGGCCCCTGCCCTGGCTCAGTGTCCGGCCACGCAGCTGTAAATCAGGGCTTTTGCAAGTGGGTGTTGACAAGTTGGTCCAACAGGCCAGAGTCTGGGACTATATTAAAAAGCATCAGTTATGTATTTTTGTGCAATATGAATCCACGATTTAAACATTTCTTTACAAAAGTCCAGCATTTTATTTTATTATTTTTGTTTGTTTGATAGCTTGTTCTACATTTCTGCACCTGTTAATATGGTGTTTATTTTTATTCTAAACTTCCACGATATCTCCTCAGTCAGACACTGTTTGGCTTTGTGTCTGTTTCAGTTGATTGTTAAGTTTCATTAAGTTTGTTCTCCCTTTGTCTTCTCTAACATAATAGTTCTGACTGCTGATACAAATTCTCGGCTCATCTTTTGTTGTTGTTTTTTAACAACCTGCTGCAGAGGTTGTTAAAAGAGGATATGCAGAGGCATTGAAAGTCTGACTAAAATAAAACACAAAGCTTTCATACGGTGGATTTCCACTAGTTTGAATCAAGAGCATGGAGCCAGTTGTTTGTATCTAGAAAATTATTTCTTTAAATGTGTTGTTTTTCAAGAGTTAAAAGCCTCTGATCGAAACCAGAAATCTCCTTAAGAAAAGCATTTGAGTGTCTTAAGTGCTTCTCTCCTAAGCAACATGATCACAAACAGAGAGACCTTCACAGGAGACAAGATGGGGTCATGGAATAAAACACAGTTTCCTTGTACTGTTAAAAGCATTTAAGTGGTAAGGTGTCATATCGATGGCATCTTATTTTGAGCCTGACCACACAAGGCTGTGTGTTACAGTATTGTACCATTGCATTACACAACACCTCTTCACAACACTTCTTCCTAATAGGTGGGTTAGCATTTCTTTAATTCACCAGAAATCAACATTCTCAGTGCTGTCCCCATGTTCCTCTCAGCCTCTAGTTTTGGTGGTTGTAAGGGTATACTTTATGACAAATGTATGAGACTGATTTTCTATGATTCAACAATAAATACAGTGAGCTAGTATGAATTGCTTACCATAATAAAAATCTTTCATTTTAATTACTTGCAGCTAACTATTCTTTTTATTGTGCTCTTTTGGATTTCCTGTGAAGTCGTCTTGCAAGAGAGAATAACTGTTCTTTACATTCCCTTCAGCTTACGGTGTAGAATTATAGAGAAGAGAGGATCAGGGTTGACGCTTCTTCAGCCTTCTTAGCAATATATTTGTCAATGGTTAAAAATAAAAACAGCTCAATTTTATAATGGAAGGTAAATTGAATAAAAAAAGATCTTTTATGGCTAGATGCAATAACAAAAAATAAAAAATCAAGCACTGGCTCAAAACTCTATGCAGCATTTTTTCAGACAGCCATGTGTTTACAGCAACATTTCAGTCCTAATACATTTCATCAGGTGCATAGAAAGCAAGACAGACCATCTCACCAGGCATAAATGTGGTTTCAATAGGTAATTAACAGGTGAGACAGAGGGAGTCAAGGACATAAGATGGGAGGGTTTCTCAAATTTTTAACAACGTACTGCACCGCGGACAGTGGCAGTCACGTTTATATGAAACGTGCGGGTGCTGCGAAGGCTAGGTTTTAAGATGCAGGAGTAATATATGGAATATTGTACATTTTTCTTGTTTATTCTCTTGATTAAATCTTGCACAGCTCATATCGGTGTGCAAACAAAGCCTCCTGTTCTGATTCTGAGATCCGTCCAGTGCATATTAATATGATATGATGTGCCCTGAGCGTGCAAAATCAACACCATCTTATTAGGCTGTTACCGCTTTGGGTTGGTGGTGGGGGTGGGGGTGTTGATGATGGTTCAGGAGGATTTGTCAGTTGGGATTTTAATGAAACTTTATTAAAATATTTGCTTTGCAGGTGTTCACAGAGAATCAGGGCACCTTTGGCAATGTCACAGATGTGTAATATTGCTTAAATTATCTCTTCATTTGCTCTTGAAGCAGCTACATTTAAGAGTTCCTCATGAGCATGATTTCTTTTGGTGGGGGGGTGGAGGGGGAAAATACAAATATAACATTTTCCTTTAGTAAAAACAGAGTGGGAAAAGCCCTGGTGAAAGAAAACTTCACTGAAATCTTTCTAGTTTATCCAGAAAGATATTTTTGTTTTGTTTTGTTTCATTGCTCTTTATTCCCTTCTGAGACTTACTGCCGCAATCTAGGCCTTGCTTTCAGTGATAAACATGCATGAATAAAGCCTCTCACTATTTTTGAAATAATGATTGGGGAACTCCTATTGGAGTTATTCCCTTTTCTTTCTTTCTTTGTGTCTCT